CTACTAATTCGTTCTCCCACCTGAGAACCCCACAGAGCACCCAGTATGGGAATGCCCAAGACATAGACATGAGTGTCCGAGAGTGCAACCACACTAACCCTGAGTGGAGACAGGTTTTCTCCACCTACGCACTAGGAAGGCCATGTGTTCCCCCTTTGCTGGGTGACCGCAACCTCAGCAGATGTAAGTGTATTTTAACCTTTTTATCCTTGTTTCTGAGTTAATCTTCTACACTATAAGGGCTCTCCCGCCTTGGTGGAAATGCTGAGTTTTACCAGGGAATCTTGGTCAACTCCTCAGGATCCTTCAGCCAGCAATTTACCACCACACCCCAGACCCCTCTGTTAGTAGCTGCTGTCAATCAAGCTTGGTGAGGGACATGTCAACCAGACTGAAGGTCTACAGGCAAACCATGTGTTGGTATGATGTCCTGTAGTTCCAATTCAGAGATGAGGGACACAAGCTGACCAAACCAGCATAGATTAGCTTCTCTTTCTGGTCAGGAAACTAAAGGAAAACAAAGGGACTGACAGGGTTACCAGATATTTGCTGCAGATTGTGGCCATGATATAAATAAAAGAAAACATGTGTAAGGTAAGTAGGGACAGAGGAAGGCATTCCATTATTAAGGTTTACATACAATTTCAATTTTAAGGGCAAAATGTTTAATTTTGAATCAAGTAGGAACAATCTACTATATAGGTCACAGATAGCGAATCCTTCCCTACTCTATCCAAAACTAATTTAAAAATGTTTTGGCTATAGATACACCTTGAGGAGACATTGGCAAGCAGCCATTTCTACAAAATTAAAAATGCAACTTTCAGTTTTTCCCTTGTGCTGCCACATATAAGTAAGTATTACATTGGTGGCAGTACCTGAATGTAAACAAACTTCAGGATGCTTTAGCACACAGGAATTTGTTTATATTTTTCTTCTGACTGCTGGCTCTTTTTGTAGAAGTGATTCAGGCAGATACTTCTACATGCTGAGAAGGGTGCCTACTCCCAGGCTTACCTGTGCCTACTTGGAGTTCAGGACCTCCAAGGTTGGTGTCAGGATGGGGAGCAAATCTCCATGTTTCAGGTGATCCACTCATTGATCTTCCCTGGGTGGTATGAACCCTGAACCGCTTGGCTCTGAGCACATCCTGGTCCAGAGCTGCCAAAACCCAGATGCTCTTATTAGATCATTGTGATAGCAATACAATTTAGTTTTAAAAGTTTTAATATTAAAGTTTAATATAATGAATTCAAAAACATCCATAAACACATTTTAAAAGCCCCCTGCCTTGACCCACACACACATATGCTTGCAAATGGTATATTGGGAGTGCAAGTGAAAACTACAATTACACCACCCATATTAGGTATCGCCACACAGGCCAGAGTGAGAGCAATAATTCTAGGGCCATCATCTACTGTTAACTCAAGCCTGATGAGCTGTAAAGGCTTTTCAATAGTTTCCTATGGACATTTTGAGTACTGTAGCTTTTGTCACGAGCATGCACAGTATTGAGGCTTCACATGTTTGGTATTTCATAAACACAATCTTTGTTTATATTTTGACAAAATATTTTGTATTGTGTTTGTGTCCTAATATTAGTGTGTGCGCATTTTTTATTTAAAATATAGATTTGATAAACAGCAGCACAATTAAGGTGTGCCATAGAAAATTGAAACTGATACCATTTTTTCCTACAGGGTCTGCTTTCAGAAATTATATAACGTATTAGGGGGTTTTAGGTTATCTTCAGGTCTAAAATGTACATTTTAACGTGTGCAAAAAAAAGAGCGAAATGCACGCTAAACTGGCTATGTAACTAGGTGTCTGCACATACTCTCAGTATATTGTGTGGACAAAATCCTTATTACTAGAGATGTGCACAACGAAAAATTATTTTGGTTATTTTCGGTTTAATTTGGTAAATAAATCATTTTGTTTAGTCATAATTGTTATGGTAGAATGATTTTTTTTTCTGAATTATTAATTATTTTGGGAAAGTATATATTCATTGTTCCAAAACAATTTGTATTTTCTGAATTTCTGCTATTCTTTTGTTATGTCAGAAGATTGATTATATTCATTTTAACGTAATTAATTAATTAACACATATTAATTTGTTATGTTATGAAGTTGTTTGTTGGACTGTGCACGTACAACTTGGTCTCTCAAGTTAAACCCCAATACAAAACAGAATCTTATTAGAATATTTACCCTACACTAATTAGTAAAAAAAAAAAAAAAAAAGGATCTGAATCAATTCGGAACATTGGTTATGTTGTTGCATTATTCCAGATGCTTCAAACATTAACAAAAGACCCAAATATTGCATCATGTCATCCAAATGAATGTGTTCATTATAATTTATTTCAGATTCATTAAAATTCGATACTATTGGGATTCGGAGATTGGGATACATCTGAATCCCCGAATAATGAAAATTTGGTCAGAATTTTGATTTATAATGAAACAAACTGCACATGTCTAACTGTATAAAAAAGTGGAAACCACCCCAACCTACAGTATAACTAGACTTTGCAGCAAGGTGCACATGAAGGGCAATGCACATAACAAACAAACGATTTTCCAGCATGCTTACCAGCCAGCCTGCAAAACAACTGATTTGGCCCTGTCTAACCATTTACGTTAAAAGCAGGCGGTTTTGTTTGCACACGTTTGCAAATATATGCATAAGCCACAGTGTCCATGCCAAGGGACCTCTGTATATACTGCGGTCCTAATTCTAACTTAACAGAGCCTCCATAGTAAGATCACATATGAGAATGAATAGATTAGGGGCAGGTTTGCCTGGAGGGAGCCCAGGGACGCATAGGACGCACAACAATGGCAGCGAAGGCAACCAGTGTGTCACTTCTCCCAATTCGTCCAACTGTATAAAAAAGTAGCAACCACCCCAACCTATAACTGGCCTTTGCAGCAATAAAGGGCAACGCACAACATGACTTTGTTGGCCAACACCCATACAACTTATATGAATGTCCTCTCAAGTTCCACCCCAATACAAGAAGAATCCTATTAGAATATTCATGCTATGCTCACTGAAATAAAAACAAATATATCTGAATCAATTACAGTGCTCAGCATAAATGAGTACACCCCAACAGATTTGTCAGAAAACCTTCACTTTCCTTCCAGAATAAACATTTTCTATGGGACACTATACTACAAAATACTCCCACAAATGCGGGCCATTGATTGCAAACCAGATTTGTTAATGTGCACACACAAAAAGTATTTTTCCTAAGAAATTCATTCAAGACCGTGTTGCAAAAATTAATACAGCCCAATGAAAGTCTTAGGAGCAAAGCTAAATTTTAGACAACAAACTCCTAATTAACAAGAATTCAACTACAGGTGAGTCTAATTATTCATTAAACAGGTGTGCAGCAGACAGGTGATTATAAAAGAGCATTACTTAACAAAGAAAACCCCTTCCCATTTCATGCTGTCAGCAATGGCACCACATGGAAGAGAAATGTCACAAGGCCTGAGAAAGAAAATAATTTCTTTACACAAGACAGGTGAAGGCTACAAGATCAGCAAAGGTTTACTTATCAGTTAGAATACTGTAGCAAAAGTGATACAAAAATTTAACAAAGATGGAACTGCAACCATCTCACAGAGACATCCAGGCCATCCACAGAAGTTAACTCCTCGACAGCAGCATCTTCTGATGAGAAGGGTTGAAGAAAATTGCCATGCAAGTTCACTGCAGTTAGCTAAAGAAGTAGAAAACCAAACTTGGGTAATTGTTTCTTGTGACACAATACGTGTACATTGCAGAGTAATGGCATCCATGGGTGTTTTCCATGAAGAAAGCCTCTCCTAAAGCTCATGCATAAAAAAGCCTGCCTAGAATTTGTCAGGGACCATGCTGAAAAAGAAGACTACTGTGACTCTGTACTCTGGCATGATGAGACCAAGATAAATATTTTTGGAACTGATGGCTTCAAAACTGTATGGCGTTGCAAAGGTGAGGAGTACAAAGAAAAATGCATGATGCCTACAATGAAACATGGTGGTGGCATGTGTCCTTCTGTGGGCTGCTGGTGCTGGGGAAGGAAAATCAATACGCATTTCATTGATGGTATCATGAATTCACAGATATACTGCTCTATATCGAAAGAGAAGATGCTACCATCACTCCGTGCCCTTGGTTGTCTTGCCCTTGGTCGGGACCCCATCGTGCACTTTTCCAACATGACAATGATCCAAAACACACATTTAAAGCCACTTTAGCATTTCTGAAGAAGAACAGGGTGAAAGCGATTCAGTGGCCAAGTATGTCTCCTGATCTGAACCCAATCGAACACCTATGGGGAATTCCGAAGAGACAAGTTGAGCATCACTCTCCATGCAGCATCCAGGGCTCTAAAAAAGATCGTTCTTGAGGAATGAAAAAAGATAATGGAATATGCAATAAATTGCAATATGTTGCCGACTTGTTCATTCCATGGCTAGAGGGACTTGGTGCTGTCAGTACAAATCATGGAGGTCATACAGAATACTAGATGTAGTAGCTTTTTTTGTGGGGTGTATTAATTTTTGCATCAACTAGTTTGAGTAAAAAGACTGAAGATTTTGTCATCTAAGTTATAGTAATAACTTTACTTTCATGTAATGAGCTAAACAAATGTTCTATAAAATACATTTTTGTCAAAATGTTGGAAATTGTTCTTGTGTTCATTGAGACGGGCGTATTTTCCGTATTTTTCCGTGAGGCAAACAAGGTGTTTGCCTAGGGGTGGCACTTTTCAGGGGGTGCGCCGCAGTGGCACCCCCCCCTTTCCCACGGATCCACAGGATCTGGGCAGAGCAGATGTGCTGCTGCAGCCAGGTATGCTGGCTGTAGATGCGAGAGGGGAGGGAGCCCGGGCTGGAGCAGGGGTCAGCACAGCAATGTAAGCATCATTGCTGTCAGTGGGAGTATTAATGCCCCATGATTAAAGTTAGTGTGGTAGGAATAGTGCCCCATCATTGGTGTCACTGACAGCAATGATGGGGCACTGGTCCTCCCATTGACAGCAATGATGGGGCACTATTCCTCCCATTGACAGCAATGATGGGGCACTATTCCTCCCACTGACAGCAATGATGGGGCACTATTCCTCACACTGACACAATGATGGGGCACTATTCCTCCCACTGACAGCAATGATGGGGCACTATTCCTCACACTAACACCTATGATGGGGCGGAGAGGAGGAGGAAGCCCGGGGCTACTATTCCTCCTACTGACACCAATGATGGGGCACTATTTCTCCACTGACACCAATGATGGGGCACTATTCCTCCCACTGACACCATTGATGGGACATTATTCCTCCCACTGACACCAGTGATGGGGCACTATCCCTCCTACTGACACCTATGATGGGGCACAATTCTTCCCACACTGACACTAATGATGGGACAATATTCCTCCCATTGACACTAAGAATGGGGCACTATTCCTCCCACTAACAGCAATGATGGGGCACTATTCCTCCCACTGACACCAATGATGGGGCACTGTTCCTCCCATTGATACCAATGATGGGACACTATTCCTCCCACTGACACCAGTGATGGGGCACTATTCCTCCCACTGACACCATTGATGGGGCACTATTCCTCCAAATGACACCGATAATGGAATAAAACAAGAGGCGGGGCCTAAAAAGGAATGGGTGGAGTTTACAGATGAAGGGGTGGATATTAAACAGGAAGGGGTAGGACAAATTTAGATGCGGGGGGTGTCTCATTTTAGTCTTGCCTAGGGAAGCACAAAACCAAAACATACCACTGCATTGAGATATTGATTACAATCTTAGTTTTCAAAAGGGGTGTACTCATTTATGCTGAGCACTGTATGATCATTGGTTATGTTGTTAGATTAATTTGCATGCTTCAAAATTTGCAAACTATCACATCATGTCATCCGAATGAAGTGAGTGAGTACAAATGAAATTGTTGTGTTCATATTAATTTATTTCGGATTTGTTAAAATATGTTACTTTTGTAGTTTGAAGATTCAGATATATCCGAATCTCTGAATAACGCAAATTTTGTTGGAATTTCGATTCGGAACAAAACAAACTGCACATATCTACTTATTACAATATCACCCACTTCCCAACCTTTGGTGGGATGTATTTGTACAGCAGCCAGGCCAAATCAGGGTACACAAATAACAGCTGATCTCCTCCATTTGCTATCTTTTGATTGATGAAAGGGGTTGCTGTTGAAATGTGGTTAACTCTGTATGACTTAGTAATAATAAACACTACAAACCAGGGCCAGCTTTTCATTAATGTTGTTATGTTTTCTTCCATCTAAGAACAAAGAAAGTGGAAAGTGCACATTTTATTCTGTAAAATGTCTCTTTTATAAAGGCACTAAAATTACTTTTCCAATACAAGATGTGGTGAAATTATTTATAAACGAAATAGAGGCTCTTAATATTTTTTTTTTTTTAATGCAACAAAAGTAGACAAAACAAGAAAAGTGTCCTTGCGTACAAAAAAAAAAAAGAAATGCTAAGGCTGAAGGGAAGAACGGTGTTACAAACTGAAAAGGGTTACCTAATGCTTAACAAGGGTTTTAATATAAAAATTTTTTATTTTAACCCCCTTTTTTTACATTTACAGGTTTCCTAAAACAAATATTATTGACATATTAAAAAATTAGACGTAAGCACCATTTTGTGAATGAACCCTGCGAACTCCATTCACACGGGATGCACAGGACGCCCAACAAGGACACAATGCCAGCAAAGGTATCCAGTGTACCCCTGCCCCAAATCTGTCCAACTGTACAGAAAAGTGGCAACCACCCCAACCTATAACTGGCCTTTGCAGCAAGGTGCACATGGAAGGGCAACAAACAACATGACTTTGTTGAGCAACACCCATACAACTTATAGGAATGGTCTCTCAAGTTCAATCCCAATACAAAAAGAATCCTATTAGAATATTCATGCTACACTCACTAGAATAAAAACAAATGTGTCCGAATCAATTATGCTTATTCGTTATGTTGTCACATTAATTTGCATGCTTTAAACATTAACAAAAAACCCAAACTATTGCATCATGTCATCGAATAAAGTGAATGAATACACGAATTTGTTGTTTTCATTATAATTTATTTCAGATTTGTTCAAATATGTTAGTTTTGTGGTTCGAAGATCCATCTGTATCCGAATCTCCGAAAAATGCAAATTTTCTTGGAATTTCGATTCGAAACAAAACAAACTGCACATATCTACTTGTTACCATATCACCCATTACCCAACCTTTGGTGGGATGTATTTGTACAACAGCCAGGCCAAATCAGGGTACGCAAATGACAGCTGATCTCCTCCATTTGCTATCTTTTGATTGATGAAAGGGGTTGCTGTTGAAATGAGGTTAACTCTGTATGACAAAGGCTGGCCATACATTATACAATTTTCTTGAGAATTTTGCTTTAGATTTACCAAAAACTATATAATATGAGGTCAAACCTAAACAACACTTTCAACTGTATCCAATTAGGCGGGTCCTTGTACTACATAGTTGAAGGTAAATCTAAAGGAAATTGGGCAGAAATTGGACCAAAAATTGTAATACAATTGTATAGTGAAAACCAGGGCCAGCTTTCCATTAACGTCATTATGTTTTCTTCCATCTAAGAACAAAGGAAGTGAAAAATTCACATTTTATTCTGTTAAATGTCTCTTTTATAAAGGCAATACAATTATTTTTCCAGTACAAATGAAATAGAAGCTCTTAATTTTTTTTTTAATTCAAGAAGAATAGACAAAACAAGAAAAGTGTCCTGGCATAAAAAAAATAAAGAAAGATAAGCTAAGGCTGAAGGGAAGAAAGGTGTTACAAACTAAAAAAAAAAGGGTTACCTAATGCTTAACAAGGGGTTAAATAAAAACAATTTTTTATTTTAACCCCCTTTTTATTTTTACAGATTTCATAAAACAGATATTATTGACAGGTCAAAACAAATCAATAAGCATTAGACGTAAGCACCATTTTGTGAATGAAACCTGTGACCCTCATTCATACAGGAGCTGTTGTCAATGCTCATAATACACAGGGCAGGACCCAGCTGTCAGATTGGCATCTGAGCTCCACAGATTAAAAAGGAGCAGCTCTCCCCGTGAAATCTGTTGGATCCAATTTTTAGTTTGTTTTCAACTATCCACACAGGAATGCCAATAAATTAGAGAGTGCTAGTGATCCTAAATTGCAACCTAATTGACAATCAAGTTATCTTGCAAAAAAGACATGTCACTATTAGCCGTGATCGAGGAGCTGACATTTACAATTACTATGCTTTCAGCTATTCTAAGCTAAGAAAGAATGGAACATGCTACTTTCATGTTTTTCAGCTGTATCACTAATTCAAAGCCAACTGTGTGTAAGAGTGAACTAAACTGGGAAATTTTGTTTCTTTGAAAATTTGGAAAAATCTGGATATTTTGCCAAAATGTTAGCATTTGAAGAAAACAATTGGAATCAATGTAGAAGAAAATTTAGTTTAAAGTGTTACTAAACGCAGGACCCTTCATTCACTATAACTGGTCTCCCACAGTACACACAACATGGAAATGCAATTATTTTAGTAAATATAAACTGCTAAATACCTTTTCTTATCAGCAGTCAGAGCAGCCTTGTGACTTCTATCAGTGTCCAGCCGAGCACTGGTTAAAGCTTGTAGGAGGCGTTTTCTCTAGGAGGATGTAGAACCCCTGGCCTCTGTTTGGGCAGTGCTGATTGGCCCTGTGCTGATCACACGCATTGTCCCATGAAAAAAAAAACCTCTCTAGCAATACACACCACACAATATGTCTTATCAGGAGATAAGAGAGAAACACTGAAAAAAGGGGAGGATCAGAGAAGTCAGGATCAAACAGCATTTTTACACAATGCAGAGGATTAACTCCTTATGTACCACAGTGAATATAACAAGCGTGTTTTACTGCATATACAGACTGATTTTACTGTTGTGGGTTTAGTAACACATTAATGTGGTTAAAACGTCCATTGGGCTTTATAGCATATTTCAAGACAAAAAAAAATGTAGAACATGTTTGCAATACATGCACATTTCCTGTACCTCATCCCATTTAATGACCCTGTAAATATAGAAAAATATCTTTCAATTGAGTGTCTTTCAGCTCTCCAAGTGTCTTCTGCTAAACTACTCAACTACTCCCACAATAAGCACTGGTCCACACGTATGCAATGTTGTGTGTGTTTTAAATGGTAGTGATTCGCACAACATGTGAAAAATAAAGGTTCTCTAGGGAGGTTGTTTACACGTATGTGGTCGATATGCATTGCGTTTTTGAAAAGGTCGACTTTTGACAATTTGGATATGTTTTGGAGTGCTGTGGAGTTTAATGAAAGTGGCATTTAAAATGGAATATGCTCAAATAGCATGCGATTTCTAGGCATTTGTGCGTGGTGTAGACTGTGTAACTGAATAAAGGAGGGAGGGAGGGAGAGAGAGAGAAAGACAGATAGAAAGAGGGAGAGGGAGAGAGAGAAAGGGAGAGAGAGGGGGGCGAGAGAGGACAGAGACAGAAAGAGGGAGAGCAAAGGAGAGAGAGGGGATAGAGAGAGGAGAGCGAGAGGAGAGCAAGGGAGAGAGAGAGAGGAGGGATAGAGGAGAGAGAGAGAGGAGAGGGGGGGGGAGAGGAGATGGGGGGGAGGAGAGGGGGGGGGAGAGAAGGAGAGAGGGGAGAGAGAGAGAGAGCGGGAGAAGGGGAGAGAAGGGGGGAGGAGAGAGATGGGGGGAGAGAGATGGGCGGGAGAGAGATGGGGGAGAGAGGGGGGAGGAGAGAGAGAGGAGAGAGAGAGAGTGGGGGGAGAAGAGAGGGGGAGAGAGAGAAGAGAGAGATCGCACGGAGAGAGAGAGCGAGAGGAGAGGGTGAGGAGAGAGAGGGGGAGAGAAGGGGGGAGAGAGAGGAGAGAGAGAGAGTGGGGGGAGAGAGAGGAGAGAGAGACAAGGGGAGAGGAGAGAGACAAGGGGAGGGAGAGAGACAGAGGGGGGGAGCAAATGAGAGGAGAGAGGGGGGGAGAGGGGAGAGGCGGGAGAGAGAGAGAAGGAGAGAGCGAGGAGAGAAAGAGGGGGGGGGGAGAGAGAGAGATATGAAAAACCCAATCAGAGAAACAAGGCAAAGAAATGATTCTGGAATTTGCTGCGCTTCCTTGAATTGTGTATGAGTAAGCGCTGACAACAGTGTGAAATGCTTTAACTTGTATTGTTCCCGCTCTGGCTGGGATGTTTTTATAAGAAGATTTAATAAAAGATTTGATGAAGTGCAGCAAATTCCAGGTTCATTTCTTTGCCTTGTATCTACAGACAAGCTTGCAGGAGGTATCATCTTGATTTCTCACCTGGAGTGGCTTTACACTTCCACTTTTACCTATGGAAAAGACAAATCTAAAGAACCCAGGTGAACTAAAATTGCATGACAAGTGCATTGCTTGTAAAACAAACCTGCATGTGATTCGCACTGCTGGAGGTCCCTGAATCACACTAAAAATTTTACAATCCATATGTGTGAACCTAGAATCAGATCTCCACCACATGAAGGCTAATTATTTTGTAGTCCAAGACAA